TTAACAAAAGGAGCTGCCAAGTGCATCCCATAATTGGTGTTCACCACTTTTTTTTTTTAATTGTCCACTCAGCTATGCTGGTGCTTGAAAGTCCAGTGCACAAAACCCCTGTATAAGCGTTATGTTGGGAAGGAACCGCTTCGACATGTGCAGTATAACATGGTAGAAGAGTAAAACAACCATAACACAGAATGCAAATTGTGTAACCAGGTGTGACGCATGAATTACATAATGAGGGGGTCGATCAATGCTTGCAATGCACTACAAAGGGCTCAGCCATAACTCTTAGTCGTCAGCAGCCATAGAATGGATTAATGAAGCAGTGGGTACCTTGCAAGCGTACGTGTATTAGTACTTTCAAGATAGTTTACAACGAGTTTTTAGAAATGATGGTTCTTCCAGCTTTCCCTGCGACTATGCTTCACTTTCCGCACAGGCCTGGCACTTTTTCAGCTATTTTACACAGCTCAATACATGCGCACGATCATATTCCAAGCCAGACGAGGGAAATGAAGATCTGACAAGATAGGAAAAAAAGGGGGAGGGGGAAGGAGCACAACAAGCTGGAACGAGTGTTCCAGCTCCATTAATATGAAACCTGGTGAGGGGTGAAGCGTGCAGCGTTTTGAGAGAGATTTCTTTGTTGAGGCCCTATAGTACCATCAAGCCTGAAACTAGGCATGTAAGCAAGTATGTCTCCGCTGCACAAACGTCATCGCTAAACCGCATCGAATGCACCTTACCTCGAGATGGCACCGCTTCTTCCCTACATGCCCAGTTTCAGTTCCCTACAGAATGTGGGGAATGGTGCTTCAGCTTCCGTAGCGTAGTCGCCTACTGTTGCCTTCATATTTAGTGGACCAGTGACGAGTGTTAGGATTTAGCCAATTTTTGTGGTGCACGAACATTTATGATGAACCGTGACTACGTGTCCCATTGTCACGACATTAGACGCCGACAACTAAAGACCCCAAAGTGCTTCGCATCTAAAGAAAGGTGGAAGTCAATACTCTGGTACGTTGCAGCTATAATAAAAATCAGGCCCACCATGGTGATACATGAATATGGAGTGTTTACTTGTGGGCTATGCTATACGATGGCATGCAAATGTACAGTTGCTTGAAAAGGTGCAGAAATGTGATAGTAGGCAAATAAATTGGTCTGCCACGGAATAATTCTTAGGTTGCTTTAAAACTGGGCCATTCTTACAGAGCATATTTAAATAATGTTGAGCAGAAGTTACCAGCTCTGTGGATGCTATTGGAAACCGGTAAACCTACACAACAAAATGTGGTGCCCCCACAATGGAATAACTCGGAGAAGTCCCCACTTCCATTCATTTCCTGTTCCTCTTAAGTGAGTACTGTTATTGTAGCGTAACTACACTGGCCTCGCTGAGCCGAATTCACATGGCACTGGTCTGCGCATGCGCAATGATACTCCACCGCCGCTGCGCGCGGCTCACCGCCATGTGCACGCCATTCGATGCGCTGCGTAGACGATCAGTGGTGTCACGCACCGGAGCCGGCACTTTCCTCGCACTCAGCCGCGGCCGCGCGACTCGCCGCTGCTGGTGTGCACTTTTCAAAGGAGTGCCGTCATGGCCTTGGTAGACATGGACGCCGACGCGCGCACCTTTCCTGTGCAGTCGCCATCTGACACTGCGCTGGAGTCGCTTGATAGCGCCTCTGACTGGCGTTTGCCACTGTGGTATAGCCATGAAGAAGGAGAGTGCAAATGCTGCTCAACGGTGCAGTAGATTGATTGATAAGTGGGGTTTAACGTCTCAAAACCACCGTATGATTATGAGAGACCCCGTAGTGGAGGGCTCCGGGAATTTCGACCACCTGGGGTAGTAAAGCGGAGAAGCTTAACTTATCGGAACCCAAAGTAGTTGCCCGGCAAAATAAATATACATGTGCCCCATAATACGTATACCGTGTGTGTGTCATTGGAACAGCTGTAAGCATGATATCTGAAAAGCTAAGAATAATCAGCTGAACCTCTGCTAACGCTACATATATCCTGGCATAGCTGAGCTAAGCCACTGCCATTTTTTTTCCTAACATTCTAGCAGAATTGACGAAAGGTGGCAATTCATGGGGTCAACTCTTCTGTGCATGAAATAGCAAGGGTAACTTGATGTGCTAAAATTTTGAGTTAAAAAGTTTCAGAGAACTCTCATCCACACATCAGTACCTATACAAGATTCTACTGTTGCACTCAAAGTTCTTAAAGGTAATCTAAAGCAGCATACAAAGTAACAAAAGCGACATTTTGATTTATAGAACAGATTCTGAAGCAGAAAAAATGGTGCTTAGAAGTGGCCAAAAAATTTTCGTAGAACATCACAACATATTCCCAATGACCCCAGCAGTTTAAAACATCATTTCAGCATATCATAAATAACAATAGTTACTACTAAAAATACTGCACATAGAATGATTCCTTCAAATTGTAAGAAATAAATAATCAAGCAGATGGATCGTTATTGAACACTAAGATGAACAACATACATTTAAAATATTAGCACTTGTGGCAGAAATGATATAAAAGCAACAAAGTTGAGCACTAAGTCACAAAAGTAGCCACAATCCCATGTAACTGTTAAAGGTGCAGTTTATTTATACGTAATTGACACCAATCCAATGCGTTATTTTCATATTTTGAGAGAATAGCCAGCATTGTAAACTTCAGAAATAAAATAAGCTAAATGAGCGAAACACTCAAAATGTCTGTTCACATGGCATAAACGAGGTCAAAGCTGATAAAGAGGCAAATGTAATCAGTCACAGATCAAAGTTGTCGAGGTCGCCACAGCAGCAGTGAGTAATCAGTGTGAAACTGAACTAATCCTACACAAATTTCACCAAAATAGTTCAATAGTCCCATATGCATTCACAGCTAAATCAAACACTGCTTACACAGCATCGGATAGGTGGTCGATATACCCTGTCAATGCCAGTACATGTAGCATTGTCAATGTGCGAGTGCATACAGATAATGTACAAGCTGCACACAAAAGGATGGCTCTTGTTTTTTTGTTTTTGTATTACATTTGGGCTCACTGGTTGGTCACGTGGTTAAAGTTAACTGTTTTCAGCTTCCCAGTGCCATTTTGGAAGAGGTTCAGAGGATATAACAAGTATTACAATAGGGAGCAACACGGTGCGATTCGATAAGCCCTTTCACCAGAACGTACATAAAAAACACAGCGTAGAAAGTAAGCCGCAGCACGAATGTTAAAGAGACACTAAAGCAAAATTGTCTCCAAATTTGAATGTTACACTGCATATGTCGTTGAAAGACGATAGTCTTGCATCTGGATAGAGTGAACAAAACGTTTATTTGATGTTCTGCACCAGAAAATTTGTTAATGGTATTCTTGAGGCGCTGCGTTAGTGCCTCGAGCCTGTAGCAGAGGCGAACGAGCACATCAAGGCACGTTAGACACGAGCGCCATCTGGCAGTTGAAAAACGGGGGAAGGCGTGCGCGCCCGCGGAGAAAGATGCGTGCTTGTCTCGGAGATGATAAGGTGTAGAATGCAAAGCGACGGGCAGGTGCCACCACCGTGTCGTCTTAGTAAAGCGTCGGAAGCCCTTACCTTTTTGAGCATCGCGTTGCACTGTCAGTGCAGCGTGATAAACACTACGGTCCTTAGAATTACTTGTGTGTGCCTTCTCTAGTATAAACGCACACATACCAAACATCGACGTGTTGTCCTGGTGCCTCAGATATGCGCAATAATTGCTTTTTAATTGACAATCGCACAACTATAAACGCTGAAGCTTGAGCAATATTGGTGGGCACTGCGGATGGGGTGGGCCCTTTTATGCCCTTTGAGGTATTGGTAAGAGTGGACAAATAGACCAATGTACAGATAGACAGACAGACCAAAATTTTTCCGTCGAAGGTCTCCAAGAAAGACTATCGTCTTTAAAACAATGATTTGGTTTAGATTGGCAAACTGTACTCTGATAATCTAGCTTTCATAAGTTCATTATTAGCAGAGAAAATCAAGCGTGTCAAGCTTCATTTTTAAACTTCACGCCGTAATATCCATGCTCAACATCAGAAATTGCAAAATGTATTTTTGGCATTTTAATGACATTGACTCGATAAAATTTCTTTATGCTAGGCCTATGGCACCACCCGCAGATGACAATACGCTTCATTTTTATCAATTAGCTGCGTAGGGCTCAGTAAAGGCCTTCAACATCTACGATATCACGATGTTTGATGCGGAAATCTCAAGTTGACATTTCCACCCGCACTTTCTTTTCCCGCGTTTTTTTTTTTTCACTTATCAAACGTCGTCACGGTAAAAGTGGTGGTTTCATTGATTGTGAAAGTGTACTTTACTAACACACAAAAAATCGTTTTGCTCTCAAGCGACCCTTTAAAGTGTTCCAAGCATGGTGCACGAGAAGCATCAGTGGGTGGCACCCCATAAATATCAGACCTCAGAAACTACTTTTTGTGGATGCTTAAATTTCTTTGACTAGTAATTTGATATCAAGTATGGGAGGCTGACATTCTCAAACTGGGACCGCATTTAGAGGATGGCTCACGATTATTGATCATGAGGTTTCCATGAGTAGCGCCTAAACCTGAATGTACGGGAGCACTTTGTCTGCAATGAAGTACTTCCACACTATTCAATACAAAATATGAGTTCTCTACTTATGTCAAGAATGCAGGTCTACATAAATACCACTATCAACAAAAATTTCTTTTAAGAGACTCCATTAAAAAAAATAAATGATTGATTTGTGGGGTTTAACGTCCCAAAACCACCATATGATTATGAGAGACGCCGTAGTGGAGGGCTCCGGAAATTTCGACCACCTGGGGTTCTTTAACGTGCGCCCAAATCTGAGCACACGGGTCTACAACATTTCCGCCTCCATCGGAAATGCAGCCGCCGCAGCCGGGAATCGAACCCGCGACCTGCAGGTCAGCACCGAGTACCTTAGCCACTAGACCATTGCGGCGGGGCCATTAAAAAAAAATGAAAAATAAAAAATAAATAAAGACAGCATTATTCAGGGAGAAAAAGTTCATTATAGCCAATGCTCCTGACTCCATAAAAACAGATTTTAGTCCTGTATTGCATGATTGCATGTTGGCACCAATGTAGACAATTACAATGTACATATCACAGTGACAACACATCTCAAGCAAGTTCACTAAAGAATTCAACGATTGTTTTATCATTGAGGGTCATTCATGCAGGATGCAGCCAAGGCACAGGTTGCTTGATGATTGCTAAGATGTAGGCCTGGCCGCAGAGTCTGCAACGAGGCACGAATCAAAATGAAACCACAGGAAAATGATGCTGCAGCATGTTCACTAATAAAAACATATATATTTTTGATTTTCCATGCAAAACAAATGTTTCTTAACACGAAACTGAAACATGCCTTCTCGAACGGTGTTGCTGCTCTGTTAGGAATTCATAATTGCAGTTTAGTTTGTATTGCTTATAGGCTGGCACAAATGCCTATTACGCACGTGGATTCACACATACTTCCCCAAGCAACATCTCCACCAAGGATTTTGATGCGATTGCATGGTGCCTTTGATAATCCAGTAAGTTGTGCCATGCTCAGATTCATCAATGCAAGAGGCATAGCTTAATGTATGTGCCTAAATTCTTGGAAGCGCCGTGCTTGCAGCTGGAGCATTCACTGCTGGATCGATACATTCATGACTGCGCCGTGCCGAGCAAAGACACTCCCACAGCGCTTTGGCATTATAGCTTGCTTCACTGCTCCTAGATGGTGGCACGATCACAGCCTAAGCGGGAAGCACATATTTTGTGTTCACACCTGAGATAACGCACGCATTTGTGGCGCAGTGATCGCTGTCTTGTCCCCTGGCTTTAATATTGAGGAGTCGGAGTGTCGCTTTCCATGTCCAGTGATAAAAATCCTTTCGTTTCTTTTTTTTTAGCTACCAAAGTGCCCTTTTACTGAGGTCATATCCATGACAAAAATTACGTGCGGACCCTAGCACAGAAGACTATCCTGTTAAGACTTGGCAGACGCTCAAGCTACGCCTTCATGGAACTAGACAGTGTTATTAGAACCCGCTTGCAATCACGTTCTCATTCCCTTGCCATCCATCGCTTTTCAGTAGACAACTGAACTGTGCCGTGAAGGAAGAAATGTGTGTACGCAATATTGGCCCTTGTGAACTTTTGAACATCAGCTATTAAAAACGCAGTAGAGAAGTACCCACTGTGCCATATGTCAGGGTTTTGTGATGTACCCACTATGCGTCTGTATGGCAATACGTGCACATATGTAGTCGCACTATCTCTTTACACTGTGGCAGATGATGATTACGAATGATGGACGAGCCCCTTTGTGAGTGGCACATGGCGAGATACCGTTTTTCTGTCAAGCAATATACCACTCTCACAGGGGCACTTGACAGTCTTTTGAGCAAGAAGGCTTCTTCTGAAAAATGTATCGACCAAAGACACACGCATTGGTATTTGCTGTAAACGGCATTTGTCTATCTCTTTCACAGCCATTAAACAATACTCTCGAAAATAATGAGCTTCAGCCATTATGAATTGATGAAAAAAATAAGCAAATGTTTCTTTTGCTGTCACCGTGGCTCGTTGTAAAAAAAAAAATTCACATCTCATAGAACATGTGATAACTCTTTGAAGCTTATTTCCTTGAGTACTAAGCCATTGTCAGCAACCAAGCAGCCTTAGGTGCATGCTAAGAGCAATGATTACAACAGTCGGGAAAGAACACGTGCACTTCAGCATATCGAGATACATAATTTTATTTTGTCTCATTGAAAGCTAGCGCCACGCTTTCAGCACACATTGGGAAGAAAGCACTAAAAACAGGGCCAAGTGTCTGCGAGGCAATGCCATATATAGAACGTCTTTCACCCTGGCAAAAGACTACTGACGTAAAAGAGTTTTTGTGTGCTCGTGTGACAGGAGTATTATAATGGTTACTGTGACTCCTTATCAGACATGTCTCTACAAGGTTTCTTTCCCCAAAAGTAGTGCCAGGCATTGGTGTGGCTCTGCGGTAGAATACTTGGCTGCCACTTAGAATGAATGGGTTCAAATTCGAAGTCGGGAAACACACTTTGTTATTATTTATTTTTAGTTTTATTATCATTATATTTTGCTCGAATTTTTTTAATCGTTCATGTGGCTTCAACGACGACAAAGCAGCACGATTCCCGAGCAATAAGCATCCTTTCTCTCTCGGTCACATTGAACCGGTTGTGTCCTCAGATGCCACTTTAGTTTTTCCATGCATAAATGTGGTGATCGGGAAAGCTATGAGTGCGAATCAAGTTACTCACAAGAATGAAAAAGCCAGAACGGGCCCTTGTGAACGCCTTGTGAAGGCATTGAGAAGAAAATTGCCCGAAAGCTATGCACCATCTTGCCAAATTTCAAGTTCTGTTAAAATTTAGCATCAACAGAGACCATCAGAACTTGTCACATCATTCGCTACAAATTAAACAGTGGTTACGATATTTAAGGTACCTTGAAAGTTTTAACCACCAGGTTTCAAGAAGGAAGGGTGTGGAAACACACCGTTCATGCCATACATATCGCTTCGTCACTCACAAAAACGAATTTCTTCAAGTTTAAATGTGGTCGAAGAATTCTGTTACCTTTTGGCATTTAGACGGGCATTTAAACTTTAATGACGTATTCAAATTTTTCAGCCTCCAAATGAGATATTGCTTGCATGTTTTCCCAAAACATCTGTAGTTCAGTCGTCCCTATACAACATACCAACGCCTGTGCTTTTGTCTATTTTTTTTTTTTTCAAATGCCTTTTTTTTTCATAGTCAGCATTGAAACGCGGAAGCACTTTCAGTGGTCCCTCACCCATCATTGTGTTCATGCAGTCCACACTGCAAAAAGCTCAACGGCACAAGCGTTTCCCAGGGTCAAGTTTCTCGTACCTGTTTTCAGGCTCTTTGTGCATCCCAAGGAACGAGCGAGTCCGTTTGAGGAAATGTTTAGCGAGTCTCAGTTTGAGTGAGTCTGTTTGAAGAAATGTTTAGCGAGGGTGAGCCCGAGTTTGTCCTGCTGACAAAAACTTCGGTGAGTCTGAGTCCGAGCGAGTTTGGTTGGAAGGAAATTTCGTAAGTCTGAGTCTGAGTGAGTCTGCTTCAACAAAATTTTGGCAGGACTGATTCCGAGCGAGTCCCAAGCGAAAAATATATTCATTGAGTGAGTCTGTGCGATTTCTATTTATTTTGCCGGCCTATGCCTACAAAACCCAAGCTGTTCTTGTGCAAGAAAATAATGAGGAAAGTGGTCAAGGGGAGCGATACCGGTGCTCTGGTATGTAAATCATGTGCAATTACACTAATGTTGCTGCATTGCCACCGTAATCATCCCTGTTGCTTTTGGGCACCATGCCGCCCTACGGTCTATGACTCAATATTAATATGAAATTCACATCTCAATACATTCCCTACCTTTTCGTTATTGCGGCAACAACGTAAAACATTCCACCGAAAATTTAAGACATCAAAGCCATATAAGAAATGTATGGTACTGAAAGGTCGTAATGTGCACAGCTTAGTTTCACTATCACATGAAAACCCTGAAGTTAGAATATCACTGTGACTGTGGTGGCAGTGTAGGCCTATACATAAGCAAGGAAGCAGCAATATTGGAAACAACATATGTTCCCGAAAAATGTCAGCACACTCAAAAAACACACAGAAAATCTAAAATACTGCAAGGTCAAAATATCCACGGCCAGAACACGACGCACAGAATGTGCATATTGATTCTAAGCAATCTATGAGAACAAAATTGTAGGCACAAGAAACAACCTTGAATAAAAAATTAAGCATTAGGCTCGCCCTCACCATTATTCTTGTCTCTGCCCTAATTGCTTGCAACTATCTAACCCAACAACTCACACCAAATGGTAACAGTTTGTCCAGGACATTGAGCATGTGACAACTTTTTGCGCACACTTGGTACAGAGGATGTTGGACTTATCTGCGAGATGTCGCACTTGAAGCAAGCGCCGAGTGACTCACCGTGTGCAGTGTTCCTTATGTGACTGAGCACGAGGGCAACAATGGCGTTGAGTGTCATGTACGAGAAGCCACCCTGCTCCTTGCGTATTTTGACTACACGACTGCAGATCTCTTCCCTGCACACATCAACGCAAGCATGCGATAGAAATTGCACCCAACCACGGTGTCACTCTCCACGTCAAATGCTTACACTTACTCAAAATTTTTCCTGGTTTTTCAGAAACCCCCTAAGCGATGGCAACGAATGGCCCTTCGCGACAGGGGTACTGACACCAAATTTTGATGCTGAGTTTACTCCACCATATTATTCTTCTGTACACAGAGACGGCTCTTAGCAAGTGTGACGCACAGAAAGTGCTTATCACATTCCCCATCTACTGACATCGACAGTTGCGTGACTTCAGGCTACAGTGTCAATTCTTGTGGCTTCACAAACCAGCATGGGAAGGTGTGATGACATCAGGTACAAATAAACACAAAATCCCCGCTAGCCCATCACCAAAACATTCAAAAATGGCCGGCTGTGCATCCACAAGAAAGCCATGCAGAGCAGCAGGTGTGGAAACGCCACAATATTTTATGCAAGCATGCGACGAATAGCTCATACCATGTTGCGACATCAGGGTACAAAAGGAACAGAAACTAGCTTTTAAAAACCGACCAAAATTACTTTTCATGGTGCACCCAAACCCACCAGTACATTTTCTAGGACCTTGAGGACGTTGGCTCTTGTGTAACACAAAAAAAAATGACAATTGAAAATCCTCACATCAGTGACCAGGTTTAGTGACTTGTCGCACGCTTCAAGTCCTTGCTCCTTCCTTTCATCCCAACAAGTGCACCAAAAAGCAAGGGGGGATGACAAAGGGGCAAAAAGATTGGTCTGCAGACGTCACGGCCATGAGCTTATTTTTTTTTCTTCAACTCGTCAGCTCCTTCTTTCAGTAGTATTTACCAGCATGCTAGTGTAATACTATTGACCGCGAGATTGGGGAGTCGCCACCTGGCGGCTCCTGACTGAAGCACGCCTAGTGTGTATTGCTCCCTGCGTCGTCTGCTAGCCACGTCGTTTTTGTATGTGTGCGTTTGTCATGTACGTCCTCAAAGAAAAATTGGAATCAATGCAGTGGACTTTCTATAGTCATTAAAGCTGCGCAAATAGCAAAACTTTGGGTGCAAAGTGAATTTCAATATTAAAGCTTGAGTGAGAATGAAATAGAATATTTTTCTAATATTTCTAGAATATTTCTCTATACTTCCATGTGAAATTACAGAAACGTTGCAGGGGATCCCTGAAATATTCTTATGAGGCAGGAACATGCAAGTGTTTTCATTCTGTAGGTCAGTGCTACAAAATGGTGCTGAGAAGTCGTCTGTCCAAGTTGTGCTATAAAGAGAATGCACAGGCCAAATTGTGTTAATTCTCATAATTAGGTGAAACCGAAATGGTGTCAGCAATACTTTATCATTTCCTATCTCCTTGCCGAGGTACTGCCAATTACAATGCCGACAAGTCTTCTCACGATGCCGACCCTACACCTATAACTTCAGCAACTAACTTAACTGCCGCTACGTGTGGCAATAATTGTAGAAGCAGTGTTGCAGGCTGTTGCAGCACTGCCTGCACAGAAGCTGAAGGGCACACTTTCTTCGACTTATGAGTTTCTCTAGCACTGCCCCTCTCTCCACAACTGAGAGTGCTTTTGCGGCAGTTGTTGGTACCGGCGTTGCTTCCCGCAGGAGAGGCCTTGCATTTTTTTCAAACGACTTTTACAAATGCTGAACAAGTGCTCACTTTTGCAATCCTGGCCAAGTAACGCTTTCATGCTAAAATGCAATGTAAAACATTGCTAATTTGCCATAAACAAAAAAATTCCTCTTGCACGGTGACCCGTATACAGTCGATGCCGGCTATATCAAATGTGGACATATCGAATTGTTGGCTATACCAAACAGTTGAGAAATCCCCTTGAATTTCCCACGTAAAATTATGGGACTGAAGCACTCGTACATCGAACGCAGTGCCATGCTGAAGCACAAGAAGTGCATTTTTCCAAGCAAATATTGATAAATTTTCGGCGGCATTTTTACAAGTTCTGATCGCTTTTCGCGCATAGTTGATGAAAAGGTCACGTTATTCCATCCCGCTGATCTGGTTCATTGCACAGCACTTGCGAGTGCACCGGTATGTTTGATGAGTGATCTGCAGGTCTTAACACACAAGCGCAGTGCTACTTTTAAAGAAGACCGATTGCTGAGGACACTAAAACGAAAATGCAAAGTGACTCGGCAATCTCGTTGCGATGTTCACATTTCTTTCCTTGTTTGTTAGCGCACAATGGCATGCGATGAGCATGCAAGCCTGAAAAGCATGGCCTTCGAGATGTGCAACCTCGCAACATATTTTTAGTTTGTTTTTGATTTTAAAATGCATGTCTTGGAGGCCACGCTCATTCTAGCTTTTCACATCAAAGCAGCTGAAAACAGCGGCTGCCAGCTACAAAGCCACAAGTGACATCAAAATCACCAACATGTCGATGGCGTGAACTCGGCGTTGTCTTGTACGTCTTGTGAACTTGTGTACTTTTCGCCTCGCTTCTGATAAATCCTCATTCAGGAGTTGAACAGAACGTTGACCAGCACGCAGCGATAAAAATTCTGACCAGCGCTTGGAGCGACGTCAAGTAAAACACTCTTGTAAATGTTTCTTGCGAGGCAGGTGACGACTTCGGGTGCGTCATAACTGCTGACAACGGCGTACAGTGCCTTAGTGATTTCTGCGACTTATCAGCATTTCCAGGCACTATCTCATAGTGAGCAACTTCATCAGTGCAGATGACGACGTAACTATTTCTGACTGCATCGCTGCGGAGATCATGACTGCCGTTGCCGGTGCTGCGGAAGCGGAAGTGTACCTGTGCAATATTGATATGCCAACACCTGCGCTGCCACCACTAACCAACCTTTCGTCGTGCTTCGAAACTTGCATCGGCATTCTGTATCAATCAACGCTGTTGTGGCCCAAGAGCCTAATTTGCTTACTGTATTTACTCGATTCTACCGCGCCCTCGATTGTAACGCGCACCCGATTTTTACCGCGGAAAAAACAAAAAAACGTAAGACATCGATTGCAACGCGCACCCATTTTTCTCGCTGGCCCGCACGATCACACCACTCGAAAAAACGACTCCTTTCGGGAGCGTCTTCCATTTAAATATGAGGTACGGGCGATGCTTGTGCCCATCTGACGTGTAACAGAGCATTGTCGTCACTGTAGTTTTACCGTGGTCCGATGTCAGCACGCGAACTTGCTTCGCCTCCTTCTTCTCGACGGTTGTGGTGCCAGGCATAACGAAGTAAAGAGGCGTCTGATCGGCATTCCCGATTTGCCCAAGCAGGTAGCCGTTGTTGCGCCGCAAGTTTAGGACGAACCTCTGAAAACTGTGAAGCTTTTCATCGTACTCTTCCGCAAAAGTTTTCGCATATGCATGTTCACCTTCGGAGGGAAAAGCCTTTCCTCTTCATAAAGTTAGTTAGCCAGCACCTGCTCGCTTTAAACTGGCTCCGCATTAGACCATTCTCTAAGACTAATTGCATAGCCCGCACTTGGAGCAGTTCTGTCGTCACGGGCCGCTGTGCCGCTCGCTGCTCAAGCACATGCTCGCCGAGCAGCTCTTTAATTTGCGCAAACCAACCCTGAAGCCTTTGCGTGAAGCTTTGCTGTCGACAATCTTCTGCTTTTGTTTCCGCCGGTCCCGCACGCACGTTTCGGGAACTCCGAACGACCGCGATGCGGCCCGATTTCCGTCCGTTTCTGCACACGCGATGACTTTTCTTTTAAAAGCGGCATCGTGGTGCACACGAGTTTTTGGAGTCGGCCCTTCCACGCCGTCGATTCTAATGCACTACTAGATGACGAACTCCTCAGCACACGTATGAAGTGCCGCACATGGGAAACACATAGGCAGAAATGGCCGACGCGCCATGCCGACGCACGTAGGGGGCGGCCATTTTGGATTTGCCGATGGCAATAGATTGACCGTAATTTTTTCGTTCGTACTCGATTCTAACGCGCATGCGATTTATGAACTCGCTTAACCGGAAAAAAGGTGCGCGTTAGATTCGAGTAATTACGGTATTTGGAAAGCTTCAGTGATATTGAGGATGACTGAAACTTAGCGGCGCACAAGAAGCAAGACAAATTCACGGACTATCTTTATGCAAAATAAAGTACAGTAACTTGCAGTTCACACCTTTTTCTTCATTAAACTGTGAGCGAATCGTTATGTTAGCACTTGTAATGATTTCTGAGCCCTGAGAACTTTTATTTTGCTCTTAAATATGCATTTTGTATTTCGAATTGTCGATATATTGAACTATTTCACCATCCCCTTCGAGTTTGATATATCTGGAATCGATTACACTTGATGGCAGCCCCCTGTCCGCTACACGAAAACGAAACTGTGCTGACAACTGTCACATAGTGACACGGTTGACACGTGGTGTAGTATTAGCATGAGCCCAGATAACTTGATAGTACCCCATTTCTACGGCGAGACTAACAAATTTTGTATCGCAGGCTGATTTTGCGACGCCAGGGCGTTATTCAGAAAGCACGTTTTGCAAAAAGCAATGATCAAGTACAAAACTGAAGCCACGTTCGCAGCATTAGCAATGTGGACCATTAGCGATACATGTAGTGAAAAATGGCGATGAAAGGCATTTTAAAGTTACTCTGCAATGGCTTATTTCGTGCTCAACTATGGTCAGTCTGCATCAAATATGTTTTCAGTGAAGTGGAAGAGGTGACATGCCCCTTTCATTATGGAACGCTCATATCAAAGGAAACTCATTTTTCAACACAAGGGACAGCTACCGTATTTACTCGAAAATAGGTCTGGCACGAATATAGGTCGACCCCTACTTATAGCGTTCTATGAGAAAAAATATATAATTGAATATAGGTCGGCCCATGTTTTTTTCTTTTTAATTTAGAAACAGAAAAATTGAAACGTAGCACACCTTTATTTACATAACTTTGCATCCTAATCACTGCCTGGAACGTCATCTTGTCATATGTGCAAAATGTTCTCGTCATCGGATTCTTTGTAAGCATTCATGGCTTCCTTAACGACGTCAGTTTCGCTGCCATCGCTACTGATTGCTGGACCGCAAAAAGCCTGAAGCCGTTCGTTGCACGCAAACAGACGGTCCCGCTGCTTTCGCCATCTTCTAATGAACTTCTCATTTACATATCACTTGGCACTGTGTAGCTTTGCCGGCGTGACATCGTCGCAACCGCGCACAAGCAAATGGTGGTAGTGGTTAGAAGAAGAACAAAAGGCATTTAATTTCTGCAGCCCCGCAGGGAGCACTGCACAGCGTCTAAAGCAAATGTGAACCATCACCCCCGTCACGCCGATCGTACAATGAACAAAGTGCAAGGCGGCAGGGCCTCAAGCCAGTGCCAGTGCAGCTGCACACCGGGATGATGTAGTGGAAGCACAGCTAGCAGGCTAAGGACTTCATGGCCTATACCTATGGGAAATTCTGGGTTTCATCGTAAACATGACGAAGTGGTTGCATTTTGCAGGGGCTTTGAAATGGCAGTATGCAGTTATTGCATCAATAACTTCTTTCTCCATTACTTAGATAGTTGGAAAGGAGGGAAGGGGGGTCTTTGTTTCAAATTTCATGGTATATAACATGCGTATGCAGCAGAAACCGCTTGAAGACAGTGGGCGTGGCAGTTTAAAGTCATAAGCTCGGCACTCTCGGTTGGTTTGATCGTGAATATACGTCGAGATTCTTTGGTCATGAACATAGGTCGATAGCTAATTATGAACAACCTTTTCGGACAAAAAAGGTGAACCTATATTCAAATAAATACGGTATATCACATCTATTTAGCCTTATTTTAGGGTTGTCTATAAGCCAAAGGAACAATGGAGATATGTTAAAGTGGTACTCACTCTTCCCAGTCAGGCAACTTTCTTTTCACCATCTTCACTATCTTTTCAATCTGTGCAGCACACTGAAATGAACGAGCCAAAAAAAAAAGAAATCCTGACTTCGCAAGAGAACACAGGACACAGCAAATGAGGCAAAATTATGCCTTGAATCTGTGGCGAACACTTTTGGCTGTGGAAAAAAAAAAGAGAACAATGCAGCAGCAACAGTTATGATGCTTAAAAGTGCAATTGAAATGTTTCTAAAATGTATAAAAATATGCGAGCATGCATGAGCAGCGTGCCAGAACTAGCGGCACTAGCCCACACAAAAAAACTGAGATGCAAAAAGCAGGAGTGTGCTTTGTACCAAGGAACAAAGGCACACAGATTCAGGCATCTGCGTTTGTGCCATTATACGAACACAAGCATATTCTACAGAACATGGCTGAACTTAGCAAGTACCCAGCCACATTAGATATTGCATTTGTCTATACTATCTACAGGGCTTCTCATGAACTCTTTCTCATTTGGAGTTTTCAAATAAGGTAAAAACTTCATGTTCATCCAAGTGGAGAGTGGAAAAACTTAATACTCCCAATAACTTTTGGTATGAACCAACGTTTTTCTCCCAAACTGGAACACAATAGAGAAGCGAGATGGGAAACGACAGTGGGTAGACTGTACTTAGAAGAAAATGTTAATTTTTCCCCATGTTAAATGCAAAATTGCAGAAATAGACCTATCAAGTGACGACGCAATGACCAAGCCTCAAAATAACCAGCAAATTCTCAGAACTGCAGCATGAGAACAACCGACCTTGCTCTTTTCTAAGCCTGTTTCGGGTGAAGACCACGTCGGACTAGTTCCTCGATGAGTCCCATCTCCACCTAGTTGTTGCTGTAGGTCATAAAAGTCGGGCGTCTGTGGATGTCTCACTGCTGGACAATACACAACAGCTTTATGCATCATAAGGTCAATGCACTACTAGATGACGAACTCCTCAGCACACGTATGAAGTGCCGCACATGGGAAACACATAGGCAGAAATGGCCGACGCGCCATGCCGACGCACGTAGGGGGCGGCCATTTTGGATTTGCCGATGGCAATAGATTGACCGTAATTTTTTCGTTCGTACTCGATTCTAACGCGCATGCGATTTATGAACTCGCTTAACCGGAAAAAAGGTGCGCGTTAGATTCGAGTAATTACGGTATTTGGAAAGCTTCAGTGATATTGAGGATGACTGAAACTTAGCGGCGCACAAGAAGCAAGACAAATTCACGGACTATCTTTATGCAAAATAAAGTACAGTAACTTGCAGTTCACACCTTTTTCTTCATTAAACTGTGAGCGAATCGTTATGTTAGCACTTGTAATGATTTCTGAGCCCTGAGAACTTTTATTTTGCTCTTAAATATGCATTTTGTATTTCGAATTGTCGATATATTGAACTATTTCACCATCCCCTTCGAGTTTGATATATCTGGAATCGATTACACTTGATGGCAGCCCCCTGTCCGCTACACGAAAACGAAACTGTGCTGACAAACTGTCACATAGTGACACGGTTGACACGTGGTGTAGTATTAGCATGAGCCCAGATAACTTGATAGTACCCCATTTCTACGGCGAGACTAACAAATTTTGTATCGCAGGCTGATTTTTGCGACGCAGGGCGTTATTCAGAAAGCACGTTTTGCAAAAAGCAATGATCAAGTACAAAACTGAAGCCACGTTCGCAGCATTAGCAATGTGGACCATTAGCGATACATGTAGTGAAAAATGGCGATGAAAGGCATTTTAAAGTTACTCTGCAATGGCTTATTTCGTGCTCAACTATGGTCAGTCTGCATCAAATATGTTTTCAGTGAAGTGGAAGAGGTGACATGCCCCTTTCATTATGGAACGCTCATATCAAAGGAAACTCATTTTTCAACACAAGGGACAGCTACCGTATTTACTCGAAAATAGGTCTGGCACGAATATAGGTCGACCCCTACTTATAGCGTTCTATGAGAAAAAATATATAATTGAATATAGGTCGGCCCATGTTTTTTTCTTTTTAATTTAGAAACAGAAAAATTGAAACGTAGCACACCTTTATTTACATAACTTTGCATCCTAATCACTGCCTGGAACGTCATCTTGTCATATGTGCAAAATGTTCTCGTCATCGGATTCTTTGTAAGCATTCATGGCTTCCTTAACGACGTCAGTTTCGCTGCCATCGCTACTGATTGCTGGACCGCAAAAAGCCTGAAGCCGTTCGTTGCACGCAAACAGACGGTCCCGCTGCTTTCGCCATCTTCTAATGAACTTCTCATTTACATATCACTTGGCACTGTGTAGCTTTGCCGGCGTGACATCGTCGCAACCGCGCACAAGCAAATGGTGGTAGTGGTTAGAAGAAGAACAAAAGGCATTTAATTTCTGCAGCCCCGCAGGGAGCACTGCACAGCGTCTAAAGCAAATGTGAACCATCACCCCCGTCACGCCGATCGTACAATGAACAAAGTGCAAGGCGGCAGGGCCTCAAGCCAGTGCCAGTGCAGCTGCACACCGGGATGATGTAGTGGAAGCACAGCTAGCAGGCTAAGGACTTCATGGCCTATACCTATGGGAAATTCTGGGTTTCATCGTAAACATGACGAAGTGGTTGCATTTTGCAGGGGCTTTGAAATGGCAGTATGCAGTTATGCATCAATAACTTCTTTCTCCATTACTTAGATAGTTGGAAAGGAGGGAAGGGGGGTCTTTGTTTCAAATTTCATGGTATATAACATGCGTATGCAGCAGAAAACCGCTTGAAGACAGTGGGCGTGGCAGTTTAAAGTCATAAGCTCGGCACTCTCGGTTGGTTTGATCGTGAATATACGTCGAGATTCTTTGGTCATGAACATAGGTCGATAGCTAATTATGAACAACCTTTTCGGACAAAAAAGGTGAACCTATATTCAAATAAATACGGTATATCACATCTATTTAGCCTTATTTTAGGGTTGTCTATAAGCCAAAGGAACAATGGAGATATGTTAAAGTGGTACTCACTCTTCCCAGTCAGGCAACTTTCTTTTCACCATCTTCACTATCTTTTCAATCTGTGCAGCACACTGAAATGAACGAGCCAAAAAAAAAAAAAAAAGAAATCCTGACTTCGCAAAGAGAACACAGGAAACAGCAAATGAGGCAAAATTATGCCTTGCATCTGTGGCAAACACTTTTGGCTGTGGAAAAAAAAAAGAGAACAATGCAGCAGCAACAGTTATGATGCTTAAAAGTGCAATTGAAATGTTTCTAAAATGTATAAAAATATGCGAGCATGCATGAGCAGCGTGCCAGAACTAGCGGCACTAGCGCACACAAAAAAACTGAGATGCAAAAAGCAGGAGTGTGCTTTGTACCAAGGAACAAAGGCACACAGATTCAGGCATCTGCGTTTGTGCCATTATTACGAACACAAGCATATTCTACAGAACATGGCTGAACTTAGCAAGTACCCAGCCACATTAGATATTGCATTTGTCTATACTATCTACAGGGCTTCTCATGAACTCTTTCTCATTTGGAGTTTTCAAATAAGGTAAAAACATCATGTTCATCCAAGTGGAGAGTGGAAAAACTTAATACTCCCAATAACTTTTGGTATGAACCAAACGTTTTTCTCCCAAACTGGAACACAATAGAGAAGCGAGATGGGAAACGACAGTGGGTAGACTGTACTTAGAAGAAAATGTTAATTTTTCCCCATGTTAAATGCAAAATTGCAGAAATAGACCTATCAAGTGACGACGCAATGACCAAGCCTCAAAATAACCAGCAAATTCTCAGAACTGCAGCATGAGAACAACCGACCTTGCTCTTTTCTAAGCCTGTTTCGGGTGAAGACCACGTCGGACTAGTTCCTCGATGAGTCCCATCTCCACCTAGTTGTTGCTGTAGGTCATAAAGGTCGGGCGTCTGTGGATCTCTCACTGCTGGACAATACACAACAGCTTTATGTATCATAAGGTCAATGCATAATATACAGAGCAAGAATTCAATATTGCAAGTTCTCTGCACCGAAAATTCTGTCATAAAGGGGTGCCTTGTTTATTTGGATTATAACACAAAGCAAAAAATTTGACAAGAACCTACTTTCTGTTATAGTCAAACAGTTTTGGACCAGTATCGCATGCCAACTAACCAAACAAAAGAACACACTAGCACCTGTCTTTTAGATATGCCAGGTAGCTTATAGGTGTTAGTGTATACAGTTACACCTTAATATAACAAAGTTAGTAAAATGGGCAATTTACACCTTTCTAGCAAAACATTGTTGAATTGAAATTCAAAATTTTCTGCTAAGTTTAGTCCACAGAAGATTCACTCACACAAACAGTAAAGAAAAAAGCATTTCAAAGTAGTGCAAGAATACCAATCTTGCGAAAATTGAGATCCTACAGCCATGATTTGATAGGGATTTGGCCCCACCATGGACAGCCCACGGTTACATTCTGTATTTCTACAGCTTTTGCAGGTGGTGAGTGCCTTAGATCTGACCTACAACACTATGTGCATTCTGACTTATGACGTCGGCTATGCGTATGAATCATGCCCAGCTTTGATCAATACCTGGTTTCGGCAAGAGCCACTGAATCGACGACCAAGTTTTCTGGCAGCCATGCCTATCAAGGAGGAGAGAGAACTACTTAAGCAGCTCCCCAAACCAGCCACGACGGGACCTGGCGCCGCCATGGATGCCATATGCCTACATGCTGTATTTCTGCAGGTTGGTTATTCTTGTCGTAATGTAGGGGATGAACCAATAGAAAAATTGGTGTCAAATACCACTGTGAGCATGAATTTGTTTACATTTGACTTGCGCTGTTCTGTTTAGTACCATTGTCAAAATACTGCTGTTGTTGCTATGCCTATTTCACTGTGGAGATGTTGAAAAAAACCCTGAGCCTCTTACGGCTGACCAGGAACACAATATGTTTGAAATTATCATTCAAATACCCTCCTTGGTTCAAACCCAGATGCACATACTAGACGAAATTTGCTTGCTGCGGTCTGACCTACGGGCGATTGAGTTAAAGGTGAACGACCTGGCAGTCAAGGTTGAACGTGCAAAAGGCTTTGCGTCATCCGTACCGCACCTTAGAGATGCAGTTGATAAAGTATCCACACGCTGAAACAAATCAACTAGTCAATTGAGGCATTGCATGATAGCCAATATGACTTAGATAACCAATCATGAAGGAATAATTTGATGACCTACGGCCTCCTGGATAGTGCCAACAAAACATGGACGGAATCTGAAGAAAAAGTTATGTATTTTTTTTCTGATGAACTGAACATTACGACTAGTACAACGTCTATTGAAAGAGCGCACCGTATTGGTCAGTATGCAGCAAGAACAGCATAGTCACTGATAGTCAAATTCCTTTCGTTTAAAGATAAACGACGAGTACTCGCGGCTGCTGCAAGACTGAGAGACTGATTCCTCTGTTAACCAAGGTTATTCAGAAAATGTCAGGACAGCTCGTGGAAAATTGGCTCAATTTGCACGCAATCATAGTGGGTCCTTTCGACAGCTTTAATAAGCTGATCATGGGAAATGAAGTTTTTGTGTATGATAGTAAGAATGAGACGAAGAGACTGCAGCAGATGAATGGGCTGAAGGATATTGTGGTTAATTGTCACAGTATTAAGAACAATATACAATTCGCTCCAGTCTTGGACTTGGTTATCCCGCCCATAGTCATCGGTACAGAATATTAGTTAGACAGCACTATAAGTAGCAACAAAATATTTCCATATAATTACAGGATCTATTGTGAAGACAGTAACATACAAGGCGGTGGGATTTGTAATGATACACAACAGCTTGAATAGTATGCATATTAACGTTCAAACCTCATCATGTCAGACAGTCTGGTGTAGGATCATCCTCACCAATGCCACTTCGTTAGCAGTTGGGTCGTTTTATATATAGGCCACCTGGTTCCAATTCTCCTCAACCTTTATACGAGTTGAACAATGTACTGCTGCCCTTGGATGCAACGTATGTTGTTTTAGGGGGTGATTTCAACTTACCTAACACAAACTGGATCGATCTACAGCCGAATATAAGTACTCCATCACCTATTTACTCTGCATCTTAAGAAATATTAAATGCACATTCTCTGTTTAATTTGTACAATCTCCTACTATAATAACTCCTAATTCATCTAATATGCTAGACTTTTTGTTCTGTTCTGACCGTACCCTCATTTTGTCTGTTGATCTATTATGAGGTGTAAGTGATCGAAATCGTTCTAGCACACCTCTCTTGCTTAGCAATGTATTACCATTATCAATCTCCAGAACTAGTCTGCTGCTATGATAAAGCAGATTACGTTTCACTAGCACGCAAACTTGACGAATTTTTGCCCGTTTTTCAAAAGATCACTTCTATCGACGTAGAAGCCGCATAGAATAACCTAAAAACCAAACTTTTATCACTAACATCATCATTTGTTCTATTATGAGCGATTACATTCAAGCACCGAGCCGATAAACCATAGATGAGCAAAAATATTTGCGCTTTGATTAACAGACAACACCGCTTGTTCAGCCGATACTGCAGATCTCCGAAACCCGACTTTTACAGCGGCTCGGAGAAACTACGCAAAAAAAAGATACCAAAAATAATGCGAAAGGCAGAAAGCACATACTTAGAAACACTAGTGAAAAAATAAGGACAAAGCCAAAAGAAGTATGAAAGTAGTGAGAAGCAAGCGAAGGCCAAAGGATGCTATTCAAAATGTTAAAGATTACAATGACTATGGTGATGGCCACAAAGAGAAGGCTGAACAGTTTTAACAGCTACTTCGAATCAGTATTCTTACATTCTACCCTTCAGGCCAGTGCAGTAAACTCCTCAGAATTTCTCTCAGATGTGTAAGATAACCTTTCCAGAAGAGGGAATAGCAAATTTACTGCTAAAAGTGAACTTGAAGTCAGCACCAGGACCTGATAACATCGCCAACTACGCAACAAAGAACTGCCCTGTGTCACTTGCCCCTTTCCTGGCAATGCCTTTTCAAAAGTCACTTGATTCCGGAACCTCGCCAAATGACTAGAAAACTGCAAATGTTGAACCTTTTTTCAAAAGTGGTTATAACATAAAAACTCAAAATTACAGAATTATTTCACTCACAAGTGTGTCGTCTGAGGCACCAGAGCCCGTTATTATTTCTAACTTGATGGCTGATCTTCAAGAAAACAACTTTTTCAGCCCAGCACAGCACGGTTTCAGAAGGGGACTATCTTGTGACACAAATTTGGTTGAATTTTCTCACGACATAGCCTTATCATTTAGTAACGGTACACAGGCTGGCTGCATCTTTTTAGATTTTTAAAATGTTTTTAATTCTGTAGCAGATAATTTGTTGCTGATGAAATTGTCTGCATGAAATACTGCTACAGTACTTTTACATAAGATAAGAGTCCTATCTTGCTGACCGAAAACAGCGTGCTGTCCTTAACGGGACATTTTATGATAGAGAACAGTCTTATAAGGTGTTCCCCAAAAATCACTTCTGGAGCCTCATCTCTTTTTTTTTTAAATTTTTATCATTCATATAGGTGAACAGGTATAAGCCACCTTAGATTGCATGTTGACGACTGTTGTCTTTACCTCGAAATTACTTCCTGGTCTGATAGTTCCCAATTACAAAGTGACCTAGGCATGATATTACTGTGGTCCAATAAATGGAATATGAAGCCGAATTTTTCTTAAGTGTAAGGTTGTCCAGTTTACTAACAAACGTCATATTTCCGATAGGTAGTATTGTCTTGGTTCAAACCTGTCGACTGTATCAAATTACAAGTGTCTAGGTCTGTTGTATAAGAATGACTTTTCATGGAATGACCGCATTAACTATGTAGCAGCGAAGGCTGGCCGTGTTCTCAACTTCCTAAAGCAAAACTTCGAGAAAGCTCCTTGTAAATTTAAAGAAACTTTACTTTTTAAGCGTGCACACTATTTTGGGATATGGATGCTTAACATGGGACCCAAGTACAAAGACTTGCATAGCCGAAGCAGAAGGCGTTCAGAAACGTGCAGCACAGATTCCCCCCGACTACCCCTTTACGATAAGCTCCTCTGATATAAGAGCCGATCTCAGATGGCCGACTTTGCAAGACAGACGGAAATACATGCGCCCACAGTTTTCTCACAACATCTTCATTGGAGCAACAGGACTAAGGAAGCAAACATATCCTTGATCCAACCTACAGGTCGGCCTGCACGAGAATTCTTCAAAGGTCAGAGAAATATAGCTGTCGCATTAACATATATAAGCATTCATTTTTTCCGACAACATGCCATGATTGGAATATTCCGTCGGAGGAGGCTGTCTTGTCACCAATCAGTTTCTTTGACTGTGCCTTCGCTGAATTCTTGTTCCAATATGTATCGTGTCGCTTCTACACAGCATTCGACTTTTTTTAGCCTTTAGTAGTTATACACAAATGTTTTGTTTTTGGTTTGTATCAATATATACAAACATATATATACATATATATTTCTCTTATTTTTTTTTCCTCGAGTGATCTGTTCAGAATGTATATGTGTCATGTCATTTGTAATCTTAAACTTATTGCTAATCTTGTCATGTTACCTCTTGATGTTTAATACTATCTGTGATGTATTCTTTCTTGTTTTCCCTCTTACAATAATGCCTTGAGGCACTTGAGCTATCTGAATAAATAAATAAATAAATAAATAAACAAATAAATAAATACCTCTACACAGCATCTGCACGCATCTGCTATCATGTTCCCAGAACCCGACCACTTGCTCGCTCTTTGTGCCTGCTGGTTCCAATTGCTTTACCTCGCAAATGATTTTTCATGTAGTCCCGAGAAGCTTCCTTTTAGTTTGGGATCACATACTGCGAGCTCTACGAAATCCCAAAGCAAGCGGTGACATTATGTTTTTGCACAAAACAGCCCACTGTTCACTGTTGCAAATCACCTGACACATTTATTCAGTTTTGCTTCTTCGAGCAAAAATCTGTGGAAAGTAGCAAGAAGTAGTCGGAATGCACCAACCTTGCTTCCTGATCTCAGGCCCCCCAGTGGCGCGTCTCGGCTCAATTGCCAGGGGATGCAGACTACTCTCATCAGTGTCATCGGGAAGTGGAACGTATCTTTCACATTTCAGTGCCTCCGAATAGCTACATGGCTTTTGTGACCATTCCGCTGTTGCATCGCAGGCATTCCGATGTTGATGAACGCCATTCTCTTCCTGTCTGGATGCTATGCAGGGGCTGCTTGCAAATTTTGTCTGTGAGTAACCATAGGTATGCATAAGGTTATCCATCATAATGATAATGTGGGGTGGGGAAAAAGCCTCTTTTCCCACCAAGCATAAATTTCACATGCACCAATATTACACTTAAAAAGTCTTTTCACAGTGAGACAGACTTTTTTTTAGTAAGTAAAACACTGGAAAGAGTCCACAGATAAACTAGAAGAAAGAGGCATCTAGTCTCTTTATAATGTCCCAATTATAAATACTCAGTATGATGATAGAAAATCAAGACCAAACAACTTAAGACATAACATTCACACCAAGAAAATAAGAACAACCCACCTCAACATTTTGAGAGTAGGTTTCAGAGCCAGGCGATGCTGAACCTGTCTCAGACCATGAACGCTGGTGCGGAAAGTCTAGCACAGGTAGATGCTGCTCCACTGCACAAATGTACAATTCACTAGTCATGCTGGGAGTAATGTAGATATCAAACAATTTTAGAAAACATTTTTAACGGTTGTATGTGCTGATACTAAAAAAAAAGTCAACTGCTTGGCAAACAAGTAAGCAGTTAGCACGAGTTACGCTTTTGCCGAGTGTGTGATAACAGCCTATTCACTCGTCTTTATTAATGATGCAAAGAAAAAAAATTCTGGCTGATCCCACACGTTCGGGAAGTCTATGCCATGCGAAACAGTAGGTGAGTAGCTGCCCATATCGTATTTTTCATTCCTTTCAGCAGAGCATGACTAGTTGGATAGATATGTGGTGTTTAACGTCCCAAAACCATTATATTGCTACCTGTAGGCTGCCACAAACCATAGTGCGAATGCGCGTGTGCGCCCGACGAGGAAGATGAGGCTCGCTGGCTGCTCGAGCTCGGAGCCAGACTGGCCAGTGCTGCAACCGCTCTTGCAAATATATTTTTCGAATATATTCGCAATACTTTGTCTCGTTACTCACGTAACATATTTGGTGGAGGTGGAACGATCCCCGTCCTCACCACGCAGCTCCGCAGTGGCCGCATCCTCCAGCTTTCCGCCATGGCTTCCAGTGACAACGCGTCCGCTTCATCATCTGCGGCTTCTCCGACAACCTTTGTCGCCGTCCAAACACCACGTGATCCCGGGACATTTTCTGCGCAACCTGGCCTCGACGTCGACAAATGGCTTCGCCTTTATGAACGGGTCAGTCAAACTCACCGTTGGGACCCTACCATGATGCTCGCTAATGTTCTCTTCTACTTGGACGGAACCCCGCGTGTCTGGTACGAGACAAATGAGTCCGAACTCACCAGCTGGGACACGTTCAAGGAGAAGCTACGTGACATCTTTGGGGACCCGACCGGTCGCCACGCAGCTGCACGACAGGAGCTGGCTACCCGTGTCCAGTCGCCAACTGAATCGTATGTGTCATACATCCAAGAAGTTCTCGCTCTTTGCCGAAAAGTGGACGAGGCGATGTCTGAGGCTGAAAAGGTTGGACACGTTTTGAAGGGGATCGCGGACGACGCCTTCAATTTGCTGGTGTACACTAACGTCTCGACCATCGACCGTGTAATTCAAGAATGCCGCCGTTTCGAAACAGCAAAAAGCCGTCGGGTGCGCCCTCCTTTTTCTCGGTTGCCAAACACGGCGGCTACGTCCACCTGCTCCGATTCTACCGTCACACCGCCCTTTGAGCAGAGTGTAACGCGTATCGTTCGACGGGAACTTGAAGCAGCAAGTCCAGCGCCGCTTCAGCCCACTTCTTTCGAACATACGATACCGACAACCCCCGCGATCTCCGTTATTCAGGCGGTCGTACGACAAGAATTCGCCAACCGCGGGTTCCCTGATGCTTGCCCCATCTCTTGCCCCTCCTCCAGACCAATTCCCACTAATGCACCTCGACGTGACCCATTTGTTGCTCCACGATCTCGCAACCCGGCGGAATGGCGAACTCCTGACGACAAACCGATCTGCTTCCGGTGCCACCGCGTTGGACATGTCTCCCGCTACTGCCGTGCCTCCTGGACGCCGCCACATAGGAGCCAGTTTTTCGCACCTTATAGCCCATATGAAGATCTTCGCCGGTATTCGTCCAGCCGTACCGCCCCTGCTTTCGACACGTCTAACAGCCGCCTTCCTGCTCGTTCTCCGTCCCCTCAACGCCGTCGTTCCCCGTCGCCCCAGCCACGCCGCCATCACTCGCCGCCTAACTTTTCATCGTACCCGACGGAAAACTAGACAGTGCAGCCCCTGGAGGTAGTGCTGCATCATCCCTGTCTGAACCAAACCCTCCATTGACGCTTCATACGAACAAAATCTTGTCGATGTACACGTGGACGGTATTTCTCTGTCGGCACTAGTCGATACTGGCGCTCATGTGTCCATAATCAGCGTTCATCTTTGTCGCCGCTTAAGAAAAGTACTCACGCCCCCTGCTACCGAAGCTGTACGTGTGGCCGATGGCGGCACTGTTCCTGTCATTGGCATGTGTACGGCTCGCATACGCATCGCCGACCGTTACATCCCTGTTCTATTCACGGTGCTCCAGAACTGTCCTCATGACCTCATCTTAGGGATGGACTTCCTGTCGACCCATTCTGCTCTCATCGACTGTTCCGCTGGTACTCTTTGCTTAGACCTTCCTCTTCAGCCGGATATTCACCCTGAACCTCAACACGGCCTTTCTGCCACAGACTTCCTCCGCTTACCGCCTAAAGCCCTCACATTCACCGAATTTGCCACGACCTCACCCGTATTGGATGGGAATTACATCGTCACGCCGATTCCTGATGTCCTACTGGCACGTGACGTCACCGTCCCTCACTGCATCGTAACTGTAGCCTCCAACCGGACCCGTCTACCCGTCATAAATTTCGGCTTCACAAAGCAAGTCCTCCCTGAAGGCATCCTAATTGCCACGTTGCGGTCCTTAGCCGATGATCACGTCACCACTTTCGCAGCCGACGCATGCCCCAATTTTCCTTGTCGCCCACTCGATGCCACATGCCTCGACATGTCAATACGTCCCATGATCGACCCTGACCTTCCCCCAGCGCAATCAGCCGCTCTCGCACGCCTTCTAGCTTCCTACCGTGACATCTTCGACCTTGACGACCGCCCACTCGGCCAAACTTCTCTTGTAAAGCACCGCATCAACACCGGTGATGCTGCTCCCATTCACCGTCGACCGTATCGCGTGTCCGCGTCGGAGCGCCAGATTATTCAAGCTGAAGTGAATAAGATGTTAACTAAAGGCATTATTGAGCCCTCATCAAGCCCATGGGCGTCACCCGTCGTCCTGGTTAAAAAGAAGGACAACACATGGCGTTTTTGCATCGATTACCGGCATCTAAATCGAATCACCAAAAAGGACGTGTATCCTTTACCACGTATTGATGACGCCCTCGATTGTCTCCACGGCGCACGCTACTTTTCATCCATCGACCTTCGTTCTGGTTATTGGCAGATTGCCGTAGACGAGAAAGACCAAGAAAAGACCGCCTTCATCACTCCAGATGGCCTATACCAATTCAAGGTTATGCCCTTCGGTCTATGCAATGCCCCCGCCACGTTCGAACGTATGATGGACTCTCTGCTACACGGGTTCAAATGGTCAACATGCCTGTGTTACCTAGACGACGTCCTCGTATTTGCACCTACGTTTGAGACCCACCTTGAGCGTCTGTCGGCCATTCTCGACGTCTTCCGCAAAGCTGGCCTCCAGTTGAACTCCTCGAAGTGTCACTTCGGCCGCCGACAGATTACCGTGCTGGGCCACCTTGTCGATGCTTCTGGTGTGAGACCGGACCCTGAGAAAATTCGTGCCGTCACGAGTTTCCCAGTACCCCAATCCGCCAAAGATGTCCGGAGCTTTGTGGGACTTTGCTCCTACTTTAGGCGGTTCGTGAAAGATTTTGCGGCAATCGCCCAACCACTTACCGATCTTTTGAAGAAAGGCGTTCCATTTTCGTGGGGGTCCACTCAAGCTGCCGCCTTCTCTCACCTCATAACACTTTTGACGACGCCCCCTATCCTCGCCCACTTTGACCCATCTGCCCGAACTGAGGTCCGAACTGATGCCAGTGGTCACGGTATCGGAGCCGTTCTCGCCCAATGCCAACAGGGACACGACCGCGTTATCGCGTATGCTAGCCGCCTCCTTACACCTGCAGAGCGTAACTATTCGATCACGGAGCGAGAATGCCTTGCTCTTGTCTGGGCGGTCTCAAAATTCCGTCCATATTTATATGGCACTCACTTTTCCGTCGTCACCGACCACCACGCGCTCTGCTGGCTTTCATCCTTAAGAGATCCTACAGGTCGACTTGGTCGCTGGGCTCTGCGACTGCAAGAATACACCTTTTCTGTGATATACAAGTCTGGACGCCTGCACCAGGACGCCGATTGCCTTTCTCGCTATCCAGTTGACCCATCGGCCACCATACCTGACAACGACGCCTGCGTGTGCTCCGTTTCTCAACTGAACCACATAGCCGACGAGCAACGCCGTGATGCAGCCCTACGAGCTATCATTGAGCGCCTCGACTCCTCCCCATCGAACCGATCCTATCGCTCGTTCGTACTCCAGAATGGCACATTATACCGGCATAACTTCCATCCAGACGGCCCATCTCTGCTGCTTGCCATACCCAAACACCTCCGCTTGGCTGTACTCCACGAACTTCATGACGTTCCTACTGCCGGTCACCTGGGTGTGTCCCGCACATACGACCGGATTCGCCGTCGCTTCTATTGGCCAGGTCTGGCACGGTCCGTCAGAAGATACGTCGCGGCGTGTGAGGAATGTCAGCGCCGCAAAACACCATCGACGCTTCCGGCTGGGCGCCTTCAACCACTCGATATTTCTACGGAACCTTTCTTTCGCGTCGGCTTGGACTTACTCGGCCCTTTTCCTCTGTCTTCTGCTGGCAACAGGTGGATAGCTGTGGCCACAGACTACGCCACACGCTACGCAATCACACGCGCCCTTCCAACAAGTTGCGCCACTGACGTCGCCGATTTTCTTCTACACGACGTGATCTTGCAACATGGTGCTCCACGCCAGCTGCTCACGGACCGAGGCCGCACATTTCTATCGAAAGTCATAGCGGACATCCTACGCTCTTGTGCAACACGCCACAAGCTCACTACGTCGTACCATCCGCAAACAAATGGCCTCACAGAACGCCTGAACCGAACCCTAACTGACATGCTTGCAAAGTACGTTTCCTCAGATCACTCTGACTGGGACATCGCTTTACCATACGTGACATTTGCCTACAATTCTTCGCGCCACGACACGGCTGGTTACTCCCCTTTTTTCTTGCTGTTCGGCCGCGAACCCACATTACCCCTCGATACGACGATTCCGTTACCAGCAGCTCCAACTTCACAATATGCTCTGGACGCCATCAGCCGGGCCGCCCACGCACGCGAAACCGCTCGTGCTCGCCTTCTGACCTCCCAAGCAAACCAACGGCGTCGGTACGACCAACGACACCGCGATGTGCACTTTTCGCCCGGTTCGTTGGTTCTGCTGTGGTCTCCGACCAGGCACGTTGGCCTGTCTGACAAGCTGCTCTCTCGGTACACAGGGCCCTACAGAGTGCTTCGTGAGGTGACTCCCGTCACTTATGAAATCACTCCTGCTGCCTCGCCGTCTTCATCCACCCCTAGGGCCACCGACATCGTACACGTCGCACGCCTGAAGCAGTACCACTCGCCCAATGATCTTGACATCTAGATGCGCCGAGACGGCGCCTTTGCCGACGGGGGTTATGCTACCTGTAGGCTGCCACAAACCATAGTGCGAATGCGCGTGTGCGCCCGACGAGGAAGATGAGGCTCGCTGGCTGCTCGAGCTCGGAGCCAGACTGGCCAGTGCTGCAACCGCTCTTGCAAATATATTTTTCGAATATATTCGCAATACTTTGTCTCGTTACTCACGTAACAATATGATTATGAGAGACGCCGTAGGGGAGGGCTCTGGAAATTTCGACCACCTGAAGTTTTTTTTAACCTGCACCCAAATCATCTGAGCACACGGGCCTACAACGTTTCTGCCTCCATCGAAAATGCAGCCGCCGCAGCCGGGATTCGAACCCACGACCTGCGGGTCAGCAGCCGAGTACCTTAGCCACTAAACCACCACAGCGGGGCATGACTAGTTGGAGCACACTTTAATAAGTAGTTCTGTGTAAATTGTGGTCTTACCAGGCTCATAAACACCCATGTTAGAGCAGATGTCCGTTTCAGTGAAAATAACTACATGACAAAATGCAATGATGTGCATATCGTAAGATGCTGTTTTCACCATATTCCTCCAGGTCGCACAATGATTGACTGTAGCTTGGCGAGCCATATGAGTTCATATGTAGCGCTTAAGTTTTTATTAAAGTGGATAGCCAACACTGCAACCATCATCGACTTTGCCACAAGATCACGGATGTAAGGGTCTTTTTTCGAAAAATCTCAAGTACTAGCATCACTCAGTGTTTGAATAATTGACTGCCCCACTCAATGCCTAGGTTTGGTTCTGGTTCTTACACTGATTTTCATTCCTTCCGTCCCTCTGATTTTTTAAATTTTTTTTCTCAGAAATGCTGCTGATGCATCATGTTTTCTGGGATAAAAGAACTAACGCTTCCACGTTGAACTGTTCAAAATCAGTTATTACTGTTCCTGGCTAGATATCGCCTATCAATCACCTGAGGTTCTTACTCACATTCCATGAACCACAGAATGCCGGTATGTGCCCCACGTTACAGAGGGAAAAGGTTTCATGACGTACGCGGCAAGCATCTCAGGCTATTAATATAATGACCAGCTAATCGAGTTCGTCACATTGCAATGTCCTCTTATGCAAATTTTGGTGTGTGTCAAGTTAAAATGTCCCTAAGCCACGTCCGATATTTTTTCAGACATTCCGAACGCTACCACAAGCAACAATGCCACACGTGACGGTGCTATAAGCCATAGGTGCACCACGAATTCTAAAAAAAACACAATTCCCTCTGCTCCCCAGCTCTTTCCCACGTTGCCAGTGGCGTACGTGACATCAACATGTTGAATCTGCGATGCATTCTGCAAGCGATGCTACGACTCGACGAACAAGAACCTATGACTTCCATTCAAGTCAATCAGCAAGCAGCTGTTCGCACTCTTTGCAGCTCTTTATCATATTTCCCATATGCATACACTTTTTTATTAGCAACTGCAGCCAATAACACAGCTACCAAATCGGTAGCGTACCAGCACAGCCACACCTAGCGGTCTGATAAGTTGCAAACTGAATCTAACAGTGTTTTGTGATGGCTTTCATGCATCAGTGTGCGACGCTTGGCTGCAATAGCACCGACTGAAAGAATAAATCAAAAGACGCAAGAGCGCATCGGAGTTACAGTAGAATCAAAGCGCAATAGTGTTTTACGTGTTTCTGGGCAGCCCTTCACTGCTGCAAGACTACCATCACTGCCCATGCCTGCCTCAAAACTTGGGCTCCAATTTGTGACCCCTCCTGAGCCCCCCCCCCCCCACCTGAGCAGGCCACAAGAGAGAGAGAGAATTTATTTACAGATAGGTAGAGAGGTCGGCCTGAGCTATAGTTTGCTCTGGCCTACTACTCTACACTGGGGAAGGGTGACTGGGGAGTGAAAGAGTGATGAATGACGATGGTAAGGTAGAGAGATGATATGTTCTTATTATAGCTGGGTAACTCTACAGACGTGCATCCAGTCCAGTGGCTTCTAAGAAAACAATGACGGCTCGTATAACCACATGTGTGCTGCTGGCGTCAGGCCAAGGACCTAACACAACCTCATCGGTTAATGATCGACTAATATATCGGCCAATCGAAGATATCAGTTGCTGACGTTCGCTTGCATGTGCTGGACAGTCGCAAAATATATGGTCGAGCGTTTCTGGCAACCGACAGTGGCCACAATTGGGACCTGTGTCATTACAGCCAATCAAGTGGGTGTAACGTCTCGTGTAAGCCACACCTAGGCGAATGGGGTGGATAATGCACCAGATGCTTCGCTTGAACTTGTGAGGCATACAGAACGTCATTTCCGGGTCCCATTTGTGCAGCCGCTTGTGCTGGTGCTCTGGTTTCTGCCAGTGCTCTAAGATGGAGTTGCGTATTACGCGTCAAAGTAGGATGTTAGTATCTTGTCGAGAAAATGCAATGCACACTTCCGGGGCACTATTTAAAGCTCTCTTAGCTTCAGCGTCCGCCTCTTCATTGCCCATTATGCCACAATGAGAAGGTATCCATTGAAATGTTACATGATGTCCATTTTTTGTAGCAATACCAAGAAGCTCTGCAATTTCGATCGATAAAGTCTGATATGGACCTTAGGCCACCAAAATTTCAAAAGTACAAATCCATCAAGGCCACAAAAATTTCAAAAGTATAAGCCCATCATGCTGTCGATTCTCTGAAGGAATGCATGCAACACAGGGTCCATACCAGCACAATTTGTAGAAGCATGAGCTGGCAACACAACTACAGCGGTTAGCCGAGAAGCATAGAGTTCACAGATTCGTGGCAACCGAAAGTGCACAGCGTTTCGAAGAGCGTGTCAGCAATGCCACGAGAGATTGTGAGGGGCACTTTGCAAGTAGGGCAAAGCGGCTTTGGTAGAGGAGACCATTTGATGGGCGGAGGGTAGTGAAGAAAAAAAGTGAAGCATGCAATCACTGCGTTTCGATCAGCAGATGCGTATAAATCTACTATTGCGGCACCATTTTAGAAAAATTCTCACGCCTACGTGTTCATGGTAAACCCACATACAACTGTCACACTACAGCTAAATTTCAACATCTGGGTAGTTTAGGGGCCCACTAAAGAGTTGATCATGAAGGCACCCACACATACATAAGCAGCTAGACAGATTTATAAATAAAGAGGTAGATAGAAAGGGTAGAAGTGCCTATGGTAGGCAAAGAAATGCTAATGAAAAAATTACCTCAGTTTCAACCAGTGTGCAGTATACACAAACAGTACAGCTGCAATTTGCCTGTGTATCCCTAGTGATATTCTGTGGTGCTTTGCAACTTTGTGTGGGTGTCTGTGATTAGTTTATTTGTAGAGTAGAAATGCACAAGAAAAAACATGTGGCAGTCCCTGCCACACTCGCCCCTGTTAAAGTCACTTTGGGCCTTATCATGCTTGAGACACCGTTAGCTGTTTCACAGTGAAACTACGGCTCTGTCCGTGACTAAGGCAGATACTCTATCTACGGACATATCTGAGAACCGCTTTTTGTTGGATCACTTTAGGCTCTATTCATGCTCAAGCCACCTTGGCTACCAATTTGTCTGCAAAAAAGAGGCAGTCATGTCATCTATGTTAAGAGTGACTTCTTATTGCTACGAAAAACAGTGCTATGAATGTCATACCAGCAGCAACGGTACGACAAACTCGGCGCATGAAACAATGTACTATTGACATAATAACAAAGTTAAGAGCAAAGGGGTAGCCAGCAGAGAGAATGAACCAACCTTGCCTGCTTTCACAAGTAGACGTGTCACACCTGGGCTCTATCGCCAACGCATGAGGGCTTGTTTCATCAGTGTCATCACCAAGTGAACCGTGCCTTGTGCCTTTCAGTGCCTGCAAATAGCTGCATGCCCCTTCTGACCAACTCATTGTAGCCGAGCAAGGGTCCAGATGCAGCTCACAACCCTTTCTAGAGTCCTGCAGTTGCAATAGGAGCGCCTTGTACTGGTCTGATCTGCAGATATACTGCCGAACACGAAAAAGCTTCATAGCGCAAAAGTAGGCGCAGTAACGGGTGACATGAATTCCAATCACAATAGAGCACTAAAACATACACAAGTTGTTGTCACGCAAGCAATAAAGCAAAGAGTACGATAAACAAACAGTGGGGAAGTGTCGGCTGCTCAGCGTTTAGACGGAATATTCTGACTTACACGACGCACTAAGAAGTCAGTTCTGCAAACCACACCTAATTTATGGTGATTACACACTAAATATTAAATGTCAGCTCCACTACTTCACATATGCAGCATTAAACTAAGGCACTGATTTTTACTTTGGAGCACGCATATGATGTACGTAACTGCACTGATAATTTGTCGCGGCCAGGCACTGCGCCGTGCTCCCTACCGGGCTGCAGATTATTTGTTTGTTTCCCTGGACTCATGGCTCACAGCCTCTCAGGGGGATTGGCCAAGAAAGCGTAGTGCATTTTTTCTGTGAGAATTTTAACTATGTGTAATGAATTTGTATTATAGTACGACTAATGCGGGGAAAACCACATAAAAAAACAGAGCAAACGAAAAAAAAGAAAAAATGAAAAAGTCAAGTTGAGAAATTTTGAGATTTCAGGAGTTGTGATTACCACTAAGCTGCGTTTACTTCACCTCATTATTTAGAATTTTTGGGGGGTAATAAATAATAATTATTTGATTGAAGAAATTAGGCGCCTTCTTCACCTTCTAACCACCACCACCTCCGATTTGTCACGGCGTATTCAGCAAGCTGTACACTACGCAGTATGTACGAACACTGTTTCGCACTCACTGTACAGCAAGCAAACAACATGAACTACGCCTGTCAATTAAACATTCGCCACCATCAGAGGTCATGATTTTTTTTCTTTTTTTTCGTCGACGCAACACATCAGCAAAGACATGGCGAAAGCGTAGCGGCACAGAACACCTATATACTCGCCTACCTTACGCCGGTGCACATTTGAAATGCGACCAAGGCACATGCGACTCAACAGGCTGCTTTTGCATCACCTTCGCCAAGGAAGGAAACACAATACGAAAAGTAAAATTTTCGAACTTACACACTGTCGCGCCGATGTAGTATTGCAACGGTGGCGCGGCGTATTATACCAGGGAAACGAAACTTGGCATAGCCAGACCACACCTGTCAGAACCTTGCCTGCTGTTTCTGCGAATATCGCGTGACAATCGTCACTTCAAAGACCGCGTCTATCACGAGGCTAACCTAGCGTTCCAGGTGTTGCAGAATATACCGATATATTGACAACGGAATAATTGGACCGCCGCTTTCACAACCAGCACACACAACTGGACAACCGTCGCGTGTTTTGTTGGTGCAGCGCACGGAGGAAGGATGTAGACACGGATGCAGCGGTTGTTACGTTTTGTTGATACCAGGGTGGCTAGCCGGCCAGAATTTTCAGGGCTAAAGGTGGGCTTAGCCCCAGGCAACGCCTCCTAGATTTCCAGTGCCTGCCGAATGAGCGCAAAACGCCGCTCATCTATGGCGGCGCTGCCTACGTAGGAATAAAGGTCTTTGTACTTGGCCTTTAAGATAGGCGTTTGCTACTAATTTCAGAGGATGCCTTGTATTTAAATAATTGCTTGTTGAATGACAGCTTAATTTACGTAGGGTTAATTATAATTGCGTTTACGCCTTTTTAAAACTTTTTTACGTTATTTGTGTTGCATATAAGCTTCAAAAACGTAAAAACCTATTTGAAAACACCCCTACTTGAGTGGCGCCACCACCGAAGTTCCAACGACCGCCACTTCTCAAGTGACCGCCGATAAACCGGCAGGCACAGGAAATATAGGACGTGTTGCCCCAGGACAGATCTTGGCCATATTGGCCCTACACGTGACGTTTGCATGCACCTGTAAAAATTTTCAAACTGTCAAAGCTCATTGTGGCCGCTGTGGCATTTTTGCCACAGATATGCACACTGCACGGCCAGGCTTTCTAGCCTGGCCCAGTTTTGCTTTCCAGCCCGGTGGTACCGGTGGCGCAGTTTTGCGGCTTCGGCGGCTAAATTAGCCTCCAAGTTGCTGTATATTGAATCTATGTTACTCTACGAGTTGCGGCCAAGGAGGTTGCGGCTCATGATGCTCATGATCATGAGCCTTCACGCTCACGATGATGTAACAACTCTATGGATGGCGGGAAGAAAAATAAACTGAAAAAACAAAAGCGTCGTGCAAAAAGAAAAACGTATCCGCCCAAGTAGCCTAACAAGCGACCTTCACATCAGAGCTAGCAAGGTTCAGTTCAAGCCAAAGAGTTTCAAAGCGTTCGCAATAGAGCTTATCGCATAGAATTCGCAATTGAGCAAAGCTGTGCGTTTGCGTTGCGCATGCGTCGTACGCGCACCCATTGAGTCATGACTAAAGGCCTGACCACACACACCCGTTGCAGCGCGTTAGCGTGGGGCTTTTTGACGCCGCGCCGTGCCCTTTCTCGGTGAAGAGAAAGGGCGCTTGGCTACGCAAAGCTGTGCGCTTTCTTTCTCCATTTGGGAGAGGGCTCGGGCCGCGTCAAAAAGACGCGCCGACACGCTGCAACTGATACGTGGGGTCAGACCTTAACGCTAACGTTACGCCCCCAACAGCTGCAAGCTTTGCGTGCGGTATAGCTCGCCGATTCCTTTATGCTCATGATGGTGATAGATTGGATGTAGCCTCAAAATCAAGATGTCTGAGAGAACACATATGCAGCAAATGAAATGTTCACATGGTTTCAAACGTTGGTTTGCAAATTTATCAACTCCTGGTACCACTTACAGACTGAAATTGTGCTTGTGAAATAGGTTGCCCAAAAATAAAGCTGCAATACCTTGTCAGCAGCACCCGGTAAAAAGGTCCCAGCAAAGAGCGTCAACTTTGTGCTTTTAATTTCAGTAGCCAAGACTTTCGGGTGCCACATGTGAACAGGGGGCCTCCCAACTGCCAAATTTTTTTTCAATTAGCTAGCAATATATTCTCCAAAAGCAGAGGCACACATGTTGTCACAAAACGAGCGCTCAAAAACGGGCGCGCTGCCAAATTCTCGCGACGAAGCGCTGAGAGGTCAACGATAAAAAAAACGCTGTGTCTAAAGGTACGTCGGACGTACCCGAATACCAAAAGCTAAAGGTACGTCCGACGTACCCGAAACCGTGAGTCTAAAGATACTTCGGACGTACCAGAATACTAAAAGCTAAAGGTACGTCCGACGTGCGCTTTCTCGCAAGTTTTCACTCAAGCGACTCAAGTTCCACCTGCCCGTCCGTCGTTTTCAAGCAGTTCGCACGACTGACCTCTTAGACGCGCGGATCCGAGAAAAAAAAAGTTTTCGTCAACGAGTTTGTAGTTGGACGCGCAGACGTTGCACCGGTTACATCAGACGTTGCACGGGTTGCACTTTCTCGCCTACTCAAGCTTGGTTTATACCACGGAAATGTTTATTCCTCCGTGGTTTACACGCAGCTATTATATCGCTTGATTAGGAAAAAAAAAAAGTTTTCGCCATCGGGTCGATTTCGATGCAAGTAGTACAAATCAATCCATTCCAATCCAGTTCTTGGAGTCCGTCCGAGTCTGTCAGGTGTTCTGTGAGCATGACCTACTACACTCCTGACCTGTTCAGATAGCGGGGTTCCTATGGGAGCGCGTGTCCCCGCTCTCGTTCAATCGCTCGCCGTAGGTGGCGCTACCTATAACCTGTTCGTCTGCTACTTTACGGCTGTTTGGACGGCGCTAGAGTAAGAACGGCTGCATTCCGTGATGAACAGCCGGCATATATGTGACTATTTTTTCACTTAGATGACTGGTCAAGTAAGCTGTTCAGTGTGACGAAAAATTTATTGCACACTGGTGGACAAATGCGAGAATCCGTAGACTTACATAGTGTAGGACAGCATATGTGATGTTGCGTCCATTTAATTGCAAAGAATTTGTGAATGACTTTTGAAATATTTGTTTCAAAATTATTTTTCATTAGTGCATAATAATTACGCAATATGAGTGCTCTGTTGGCCGAAATATGACCACGAACACTCAAGCTGACGTCAGCGAACAGGTGCTGACTAGCGCCACAGTGCTCCTAAGTTACGGCCCTAGCGGCAGAAGGTATGAACTAGAACGTGGGCGCTGGAAGAGGTGCTCTCTGGGCAGGTCAGGAGTGTAGTAGGTCATGTCTGTGAGTCTGTCTTATCCATAGTCTTATCCGTCCTACTTGTGTGGCGCCATTCTCCCGTCTCTTCAGTCAGCGTGTTACAGGTGTTCTGTGGTGACCGTTCCGCAGCACGTGCGGCGCCAGTCAAGTGTTCCCGTTCCGCAGCTCGTGTGATGGCTGGCAGCAAAATGAAAGTTGGGGACAAATTTCCAACGTTCAGGGAACTGGAAGCTGCTGTGAAAGGATACAGTGAAGAGAAGTTCGTGCAGTTTTACAAACGTGACTGTCGAACTGTCACAGCGGCGAAGACCAAAGTGAAGCGTTTTCTGAACGAACGACTTGGAATGTATCAGGTGGTTTACTGCTGTATCAAGGGGGGCAAGTCTTTCAAGAGCCGCAGCAAGGGGGAAAGAGATACCAGGTGAGGGCCAGCACTGGTCATTGTTTCCTTTGTGTTTCTTTCTGTGCTGCCAATCCACCATGGTCAGCGACGTGGTTGCGTTGTACACATCATGCATTTAGACGATTGTTTCCTGAGAGACATTGAGCATGTGACAACGGATCACTTTCAGCACCTTTCAGGCTGGATGTCCGGCGTTCGTGAAGTGCAGGGCCTCTGACGATGGGAACTTCCTGGAGGTTATTGAAATGAATGAGGACCACAACCATGAGTTATCGAAGGTATGGAGTTCCTAAGCATCCTTAAAAGTGTGCGACAGTATCTTAATGCCCTGTCCTTCATCCCTCACCATGTGTTGTTAAATTAAGCCAATACAGCTTTTGCTGTTACCTGTTCATATTGGTTAGTGAAGTTCAGTTCTGTTTTTTCACAGAAACAAACCTGAGTTTTGAGGTTATACAGGGTGACATGCACCACTGAAATATACTTTTGACGAAATGTTTGACGTGCTTACTTGATCGCGCAAAATGTTCTCGCTCAATTCTCATTGAGCTGGTAGCACCAGCACAGGGGATGCGAAGTTTGCGATGTCAAATTAATGGGATCAAAGCAGTACATGCAGGTTCATTTCTTATTCACACTCAGAGGAATTCCTGCTGCATCATTATTACATTGAGGCAGATTAACTGCAACTTGCTTGTCATCAAAGCCGCCATTCTACAGTGCTACTACATTCAGGAACTGTGTCCTTGACATCACATGCGAGCCATATATAGGAAACACAGATTTACAGTTACAAGCATGATAAGGTGAGATTGAAGTGAGCTTGCTTGTGCTAAGAACCTAGATGCCATATATGCAGAATGTTGTCTGCACTTGTTTGCTTCACTCTGTGAGCTTGACATTGCATAATGCAGTTAACCTATAATTGCATATGTAGTTCAGTTTAACATTGAATGAAAAGTTTATTTATTGCAGTTACTCTACAGCCACCTGCCACAAACCAGAGCATTAAGAGAACCAGGGGCCAAGGAGGAAGCCACACAGCTCTTGGCTTTGCATGCCAACAAGAAGTTGGTTAAGAAAAGGATAGAAGAAAAGACGGGGAAACTTGTCCTGCTCAAAGACTTGAGCAATGCGGCCTCTTCCCTCAGACCACAGACAAGGAATGACCTCATTAAGACTGCAGCTCTTCTGCAAAATGAGCATGGTAAGCACCTGATATTGTAGCACAAGTTTTTAAATAATTGCATCTGGGTTTTCCAGTGGGCTTCAGAGAAACTCGTATGTACAGTCGGCCAAATCTTTTACATTTAGACCATGAAATTTATTTCTACAGGTACAGACTACCACATCCTTGCTGATGGGGAAAACTTCCAAGGAATTTTGCTGTCCAATGAGTCTATGCGGTCAAATATGGATGCCTACCCAGAATTCCTAGGAATTGATGCCACCTACAAGCTTCTAGAAATACGAACACCAGTCTATGTGATGCACGTTGAAGACTCCAATGGAGACACAGAGACAGTATGTGTTGCAATTCTTGTGAATGAGTCTGCACCCACTATCAAATGGATGTTGGAAAAGTTCAAGGAACTGCACCCATCTTGGCCAAAAGTAAAGTGTGTCATGGCAGACAAGGACCTTTTGGAGCGTGACCTTCTCAAAGAAAGCTTCCCGCAGTCGAAGGTGCTCATCTGTGTGTTCCACACTTTAAAGACTTTTCGACGCGAGATTGCCTGCAACAAGATGAACATCACTGCAGAGGAAAGGGACCAAGCCCTGGCACTGCTCCAGAAGATGGTCCTGTCACGATCGAGTGAAAAATTT